CAGTGGAGATCTGCAGAAAATGTCACAACTTCCTGTGCATATATAATAGATTGCAAAATAACAAAAGGTACTTTTTCCTGATTTTTTTGGGCGGGGGAGATTTGTTTGAATTCCCAATAGTGTTTTTATGTCCCATTACCAGGCTTATGAAAAACCTTTTCATTTGAAAATGACCTTCCAAGTTTTCTCCACATTCTGCTTCAGATGACATTTTGGAGTCAGTTTTCCTCACTAGCCTGGTGAAGGCTTTTTGACAGAACTGGCATTACCTTAAACTGGAACGGTTTTTCATTCCAAATGGTAACAATGTCCTTATAATGTTCAGATAATAATTGTCACTGATCTCAGGGGAGGAATTGTCCTGAATGAAAAGTTTCAGGGGCATCAGATTGCGCAGCTCTTTGAAGGCTGTCCATATGGGCAAGACTCACTCCAGAAGGTTACCTCCCCTAAAAAGCATTAATTACAACATGAACACCAAAATGGGAGAACATTCAGCAGAGATTGTTATAATCAGTGCCAATCTATCTCAGTAATCTAGAGCAGATTCATTATTCATGATGGAACACATGCCACCAGAACTCAATTTGCATTACAATGTATATGTTCTGGTGCCACCTAGCTCTCTTCCAGAGTACATCCCTTTTGTCTCCAGTGGAATATATGTTGATACAATTAACACATAGTGATTGCCACATGCAGATGGAAAATGGGATATAATGCAATATGAGGAATGTATTCCAAACCTTGATTTAGCCTTGAGAATAGGCTCCAGTTCAATACTATGCAGTTTTTGTAGAATGGTATGGATAGAGCATCACATATTCCTTATAGCAAGTGAAAAAAAATCTGTGCTGTCATGCGCTGGGCCTGTGAAAGAGTCTGTAGACAGGACGTGTTTTCTGAAAGCCCAACGGGACTCCGGGGGTGCCTCGGCTGAGAGGTCTTTTGGATTTCCCCACACAAAGTTCTTTTAAAGGCTTAGAAAGTTCAACAAAGTTTTTATTGTTGCTTAAATCTTTAATAAATCAAACAAATACTTCAAGGCTTTGAATCAACTGGTGGCTTGCTTACATCTTGTCCACAAGGGACAGGCAACTTCCTTCATAAACTGTTTCTTCCTTCTACAAGGGAAATCCTTGACCCCTCCCTGGGCAATCTGATTTAAGCCCTGCTAGCGTGGGCCCCTACACCCGGTCCAAATGGCTTTATGGCTGCTGCGAGTGGTCCTTACCAAACAGTCCTTTAGTAGATTTCCAAGAGGAAAGAAGGCTTTTAATTCCCAGCGAAGGCTGGCTGTAAAACCATGGAGCTGTATTTCTCCAGCAAAGAGCTGGCTGTAGAGTTGTGGAACTAAATTCCCCAACAAAGGCTATGCTGTAGTTATCTGTAGAGCTGTAGGACTGGATCCCCTCAGCAAAGCTGTAAAAGACGAAGCTTTCTACAGGTGGAACTGATTCACGTCCTGTACGAAAGGCTTTTCTGTGTGAGCTGAACTAGAGGTC